AACGTTGAGGCCAGACCTGCCAAGCTATCGGACCATGTGTTCCCCGAATCGGTTTGGAAAGCCTTGGGGAACACGTGGGCAAGGTCATCTTGGCCGTCTGGAGGCCATTTTGACACTTTCGGGCCTTGGAGGACGTCTTGGAGGGCTCTTGGGCCGTCTTGGAGGCCATCTTGAGCGTCTTGGAGCCTCTTGGGCCGTCTTGGAGGCCTCTTGGGCTGTCTTGGGCCTCTTGGGCGATCTTTGGTGGCACTTGGGCCGTCTCGGGCCGTCGGGAGGCAGAAAAAAAACAAAAGCCACAATCCTTCAAAACCCATGGACAATCAATGATTTTTGCCTTTTCGGGCCTTCCTGGAGGCCCTCTTGGAGGCCCCTTGGGCCATCTTAGGGCTATGTTTCGGCTGTCTTGGTGGGCTCCTGGTCCGTCTGACGCCGTCGGAAGCCGTTTGGGGGGCCTCTCTGGGCCGACTTGGGGCCCTCTTGGAATGCTCCAGGGCCGTACTGGAGGCCATCTTGGGCGTCTTAAAGTCCTCCTGGGCCGTCTTTGGGGCCTCTTGGGGCCGTCTTGGGGGCCTCTTGGCCCGTTCTGGAGCCATCTTGGAGGCCTCTTGGGCGATCTTTGGGCGATCTTGGGAGCTCTCGGGCCGTCTCGGGCCGACGGGAGGCTGAAAAGAAGCAAATGTCAAAATCCTTCAAAAACCTTTGGAAAATCAGTGTTGGTTTACCTTTTCTGGCCTTCCTGGAGGCCCTCTTGGAGGCCTCTTGGGCAGTCTTGGGTTAGCTTCGAGCCAACTTCGGCTATCTTGGTGGCTTCCTGGCCCGTCTGACGCCGTCGGGAGCCGTCTTGGGGGCCTTTCTGGGCCGGCTTGGGGCCCTCTTGGGGCGCTTCGGGGCCGTCTTGGAGGCCATCTTGGGCGTCTTGGAGGCCTCTTGGCCCGTCTTGGGACCCGCTTGGGGCCGTCTTGGGAGCCTCTTTGGCCGTCATGGGGCCATCTTGGAGGCCTCGTGGGCGATCTTGGGGCGATATTGGGGGCCTCTTGGGCCGTCTTGAGCCGTCGGAATGCCGAGAAGAAGCAAATGCCAAAATCCTCGAAAAACATGAGGACCATCAGTGATTGTGGCCTCTTCGGGCCCTCCCGGAGGACCTCGGGAGCCCTCTTGGGCCGTCTCGGAGGCCTCTTAGAGCCCTCTTCGACCGTTTTGGGTCATCTTGAGGCTATCTTAGGCTGTTTTGAGTGCATCTTGGGCCGTCTTGGAGGCATCCTGGGGCCATCTTGGCCGTCTTGGAGGCATCTTGGAGGCCTTCTTGAGCCGTCTTGGAGAATTGTTTGTGGAAGTTGAGGTCGTTTGCGGGCCTGGAGTTCCCTCCCAGGACCCCGGCGGGACGGGCCGAAGCGCCAGGGGGAGGTTTTTTTCCCGTAAGAAGTCCAGCACGCCAGGCACTTCTGCGATGAATCGACAGGGGGCGGCGGATCGAAGACGCCTACGGCGAGTCACCGCCGCCCACTGCCTTTTTGGAAGCGCCTATGTGGCCGAACGTTGAGGCCAGACCTGCCAAGCTCTCGGACCATGTGTTCCCCGAGTCGGTTTGGAAAGCCTTCGGGGAACACGTGGGCATCTTGAAGGTCATCTTGGCCGTCTGGAGGCCATTTTGACCCTTTCGGGTCTTCTTGGAGGACGTCTTGGAGGGCTCTTGGGCCGTCTTGGAGGCCATCTTGAGCGTCTTGGAGGCCTCTTGGGCCGTCTTGGGGACCTTGGGGCCGTGTCTTGGGCCTCTTGGGCGATCTTTGGGGGCATTTGGGCCGTCTCGGGCCGTCGGAGGGCAGAAAAAAAACAAAAGCCACAATCCTTCAAAACCAATGGAAAATCAATGATTTTTGCCTTTTCGGGCCTTCCTGGAGGCCCTCTTGGAGGCCTCTTGGGCCGTCTTGGGCCATCTTAGGGCCATGTTCGGCTGTCTTGGTGGGCTCCTGGTCCGTCTGACGCCGTCGGAAGCCGTTTGGGGGGCCTCTATGGGCCGACTTGGGGCCCTCTTGGAATGCTCCAGGGCCGTCTTGGAGGCCATCTTGGGCGTGTTAAGGGCCTTCTGTGCCGTCTTGGGAGCCTCTTGGGGCCGTCTTGGGGCCCTGTTGGGCCGTTCCGGGGCCATCTTGGAGGCCTCTTGGGCGATCTTTGGGCGATCTTCGGGGGCTCTCGGGCCGCCTCGGGCCGTCGGAAGGCCGAAAAGAAGCACATGTCACTATCCGTCAAAACCGTATGGACAATCAATGTTTTTGGCCTCTTCTGGCCTTCCTGGAGGCCCTCTTGGGGGCCTCTTTGGACGTTTTGGGCCAGCTTCGAGCCAACTTCGGCTATCTTGGTGGGTTCCTGGCACGTCTGACGCCGTCGGGAGCCGTCTTGGGGGCCTTTCTGGGCCGACTTGGGGCCCTCTTGGGGCGCTTCGGGGCCGTCTTGGGGGCCATCTTGGGCGTCTTGGAGGCCATCTGGGGCGTGTTGGAGGCTTCTTGGGTCGTCTTGGGGCCCTCTTGGCCGTCTTGGAGGCCACGTTGGTCGTAATGGGACCCTCTTGGGGGCCTCTTGGGCGATCTTGGGGGCCTCTTGGGCCGTCTTGAGCCGTCTGAATGCCGAGAAGAAGCAAATTCCAAAATCCTTCAAAGACCTTAGGAAAATAAGTGATTTTAGCCTCTTCGGGCCCTCCTGGAGGACCTCTTGGAGTCCTCTTGGGCTGTCCTGGAGGCCTCTTCGGGGCCTCTTCGGCCGTCTTGGGCCAGCTTGAGCCCATCTTAGGCCGTCTTGGGTGCATCTTGGGCCGTCTTGGAGGCATCTTGGGGCCATCTTAGCCGTCTTGGAGGCCATCTTGGCCGTCTTGGAAGCATCTTGGAAGCCATCTTGGGCCATCTTGGAGCCGTCTGGGGCAGGAAAGCCCACGGCAACCACCTCCGGAAAAGCCTCCTGGGACCCCGGCAGGACGGGCCGAAGCCCCAGGGGGAGTTCTTTTGGAAAAAGAACCACACCAGAAGCCATACCATCTGGCACGCCAGGCACCCCTTTGATAAATCAAAAGGGGGCGGCGGATAGAGTCGCCTTCGGCCCATCCCGCCACCGTGCCTGGGTTGTGGGTTAGAGGTCTCCTGGATGTCCGTTTGGACATCGTTGGAGGCCTCTCGAGAGCCTCTAGGAGGCAGTTTTGAGGCCTCTTGGGGGCCGTTAGGGGGCCTCTTGGGGCCTTTTCGGGGGCTTCTTGGGGGCCTCGTGGCGCCTCTAGGGGGCCTCTTGGGCTCTTTTGGGGGCCTCTTGGGGCCTCCTGGGGGCCTCTTGGGGCGGAAGACTCGAATTGTCAGTTCTTGTTCCCCCTCTTGGGCTTCTCTTGGGGCCGTCTTGGGCGATCTTGGGCCGTCTTAGGGGCCTCTTGGACCATCTCGGGGCCCTCCTGGGGGCCTCTTGGACCGTCTTGGGGCGGCCTTTGGGGCCTCTGGGGCCATCTTGGAGCGTCGGAAGCCCGAAAACGCGAGAACGGGAAACACGTAAAACAAATCACGAGGAGAGTTCATGATTTTTGCGTTGTTGGGCTCTCTTGGGGGTCCTCTTGGGGCGCTCTTGAGGCTCTTGGGCCGGCTTGGGGTCATCTTGGGCGTCTTGAAGCGCTTCTGGACTGTCTTGGAGGCCTCTTGGACCCTCTTGGGCGCTTTCTGGGGCCCTCTTAGCCAGTCTTGGGGCCCTCTGGCCTTTGGAAAAGTCATGCGAGGCAGTCCAAGAGCGCGCTGGGAACGCCCAGGAGATTTGAGAATTTTGGGTCCCAGCCCTCAGGATACTATAATCCCAGAGTCCTGCGTACAGATAACAGAGGACACATGAGAGCCTGGAGAAAGCTCCACTTCGCGCCTCGCGGCACGGTGGCGTATTCCTATTCTGACATTCTTGTTTAATCGCTTCGCTCATTCCACCGGCCCTGGAGCGCTATTTGGGGCCTCTTGGGGCCGTCTTGGGGGCTTCTTGGGGGCTTCTTGGGAGCGTCTTGGGGCTCCTTGGCGGCGTATTGGGCTCCCCTGGGGCCTCTTGGGGGGCTCTTGGGGGCCCCTTGGGGCGGGAGGGGGGGTAGTCGATTGCAGCCCCCCCCTCGGAGGCCACGATCCTCGTGAGTACGTCCGGGGCTCCCCCCCAGGGGCCGCCCCGCGCGCGCGAACTAGAAATATTGTTAAGTAGTTACCGGAAATCTCAGCACGCCTCTGGCCCGTTGGGCCAGCGAGTTACCCGGAAGCCCCCTTCCCTCCCCCCCCCCCAAAACCAGCAAGGGTCCGGTTCGGGCCTGTTCGTGTCCTGGGGGGGGGGTCTTGTTTTGAAAACAGGACCCCCCCCCAGGACACCCCAGACGCCCCTGCCCTCCACCAAACGAACGCCCTGGACGCCCTTTCGGAATCCCGGCGGCCTTCCGGGCAGTTGGACGCCCCTGCAGATCGGAGCCCACGGGCCCAGACGGCCCATCAGGACCCACTATGGTTTCAAGACGGCCCACGAGGGCCCCAAGACGGTCCAAGGGGCCCCGAAAGGGACCCCCAAGAGCCCCAAATCGTTCCATTCCCTGAGGAAACGCACGCTTTTGAAGATGTTAGCTTTTTCCGCTTTCACAGCGTCCACGGCATCCTCAGAGAATCTCAAGATCGCCCCAGGACGGCCTCCGAGGCCTCTATGAGCGGCCCGAGGCGGCCCAAAAGAGCTCCAAGACGGATCACGAGAAGCCCAAGGCGGCCCAAGAGGGGCCCCAGAGGGCCCCGAGAATTCCCAAGAGAGCCCCAAGAGAGCCACAGGAGGCCCCCAAGAGTGTCCCAAGAGGGCACCCGAAAAGCCCCTGGCCAGCCTGGCCTCCCAAAACGGCCAAAAGAGGGTTCCGGGACGGCCCAAGAGAGCTCCAAGACGGCCCAAAACAGCCCCAGAAGGAGTCCTCTGGTTCAGAGATTCACCAGGAGCTCAAACGCGAGCCCACACCGTTCCAACATAGCTTCCAGCATTTCTCTTACACTCCACGAGGCCGTAGTTCGCAGGACGGTGGTTCGAATGGACCTCAGAAGCCCCACAAGCGTCCAGGACCCCTCCAGGTATTCAGGAAGTGACCAATCGTCGTCGCCGCCGCCGCCGCCGTCGTCGTCGTCGTCGTCGTCGTCGTCGTCGTCGTCGTCGTCGTCGTCGTCGTCGTCCTACGGAGGAGCAGGAGGTCTCGGCCTGTCATCGCGGGCTGCCGCCTCATTACTGCGTAGCCCGCTTGCTGACGCCCCGAGCGCTCGCTCCCGCGGCCTGCCCGAGAGGGGGAGCAGGAGGAGCAGGAGGAGGAGGACGACGACGACGAGGAAGGGCCAAGTTTCTGAGCGCTTCTGGCCCCATCGGGAGCTTCCAGAGGCCCTCGAGAGACGAGGGCCCCATCTGCAGTTCAGACGAGAGCCCCATCGTCGTCGTCGTCGTCGTCGACGTCGTCGTCGTCGTCGTGGTGGTGGTTGTGGTGGTGGTGGTGGTGCTGGTGGTGGCGGTGGTCCTCGTGATCGTGGTCGTATTCGTGGTCTCGACGCCCCCTCTGCTGAAACACGCGATGATTTATTGCTGTTCCGAGAAGCGTCCGGAACAAGGTGCATGGCGCGAAGCGCCAATGCAGTCTTGTATATATATATATATCTATATTTGTATGTATTTTTACATTTACATGAATCTATATCTATATACATACGCATCTACATGTAAACGCACATGCTCATGCATGTAGCGACGCTGCCCGGAGTTAGGTCGACTTCTGCCATGTCGGGGGCGTTTCGGGGTCAGTGCGCCGATTTCGGTCAGCTCTGAGGCCCTGGCGGCTTAAAACACTGGCCGGCACGATCCAGACTCCGTCTCAACTCGGAACGCCTCTCCCTCCCCCTCACCCTCATCTTGAGGATGCAACTCATTGGACGTTCAATTCAGCATTGGCGCGGGTATCTCCGCGGTCGAGGACCAGGAAAAGTCCGCATAGCTATCCCGCCCAATTTGGTTTCACCCCGCTGAATCCGGCCTCGGCCGGCTAAGTCCTGGCCTATTTTGGGCCAATCGGGCTCAATGGTTTCTTGCCTTCCTGAATCGCCCTTGACCGTTCTTACGAAGACCTCCAGGGATCTGCTCCTTGACGCAGCCTCGAGTGTGAGGAAGGTCCCTCTGTCTCCGCTTTGGCTCGAGGCGGCTCGTCGGCCGCCAGTCTTCGTCGCCCACCTCGTCCGCCTGGGTGCGCGCGCGCGGGCGCCCGGTGGAGGTGCTGGGGGCGCGGAGGCGATGTGGCCCTTCGAGAAGTTCCGGGAGAACCTGCGCCGCGGGGCGCAGAGCACCGCCCCGGCGTCGCCGGCGGTGGTCCTGCTCCTGGGGCCCATTGGGGGGCCACAGGCGAGCCCTACCCCTGCGCCCCACGACTTCTGAGGGGGGTACAGTCGGGGCCTTGACCTAAGGAACCCTAAATAAGGAACGAGGTCACTTTTTTCCATAAGTGAAACTTCGATTCCCCATCGACAGCATAAGGAAAACCTGAGGCAAGCTGTGAAACAATTCAGGAACACGGAGCCCCTCCCCAACGAAAAGGGTTCCTCAGTCAGCGCCCCGACTGTAGGGGCAGGGCTCGCACGTGGCCCCCTGCCCATGGGGCCGGCGCACCTGGGCCACGTGCAGATGCTGCACCACGCGAGCAAGCGCCTGGCGCGCGCGGGCTTCGAGGTGCTCGGCGGCTGGCTGTCCCCGGGCGGGCCCGCGCGGGGCCCCGCGCAGGCCCCGCCCCCCGCGCAGGGGCCCCTGAGCGAGGCGTTCCGCCTGCACACCGCGGCCCTCGCCTGCGAGGGCGACGAGCTCGTGAGCGCGTCGCGCTGGGAGGCCACGCTGGGCCGCGCGGCCTCCCCGGGGGAGGTCGTCGCCGCCCTCCGCGCCGCGCTCAACGCCGAGTTCCAGGGGGCGTCCTGGGTGGCGGACGTGCGCATCTTCGTCGCGTGCCTCGGGGAGGAGGTGAAGCAGTACCAGAGAATCACGACCGGCGAGAAGCAGGGCCTCGTAGTGGTGCCCAGGCCCGACGAGGATGACCAATTGGAGAAGACGAGCTCGCTGATGTATGTGGCTGACCCACCGCTGGACCGCCTGACTCTGCTTAGCGACTGTAAACTGCGGGCGGCGATGAACGCCGGGGACCGCGCCTTCATCATCCAGTCGACCACAGAAAGCCTGGCACAGTTCTTGCTGGAGCCCTCCCAGGAAGCAAAGGCCGAGTTTGCGGCAGACTTCGCGAGGCTGGCGCCGACGCCAGAGGGCGCGTGGCCCAGCAAGAAGCTGATGCAGAGGCTGGCGACGGTCCAGGTCGAGGAACAACAAACTATATATATACATACATATATACATATATATATATATGTATATCTATATATACTTTCGGATGTCCGCGTGGACCTCCGAAAGCTCATGTTTGTGCAGAGGTTTCTTCACTCTGCCAGGACAACAGGTACCCCGCGGTGCTGGTGGCGACCGGTGCCATGAGCCCCGCACACCGGGGGCACGTGCTGATGATGTGGGAGGCCAAGGCGCGGCCGCCTGCGATCCCCGCCGGTGCGAGTCGACCCGCTGGCCGGGGCCGCGACTCTGCTTCGATTCGACCTCGTTCGTTGAAGCTCGCTGAGGGGCAGCGAACGCGATCTGTGTTTCTGGGGCGACGGGGGAGAGGGCAATGCTTTTGTAGGGCAAGAGCAAGCGTGAGCAGCCCAATCGTCGGCAAGAGCAAACCTGAAGTCAGAGCTTCTCGCGAAGGGCGGCTGGAAGGATTTCTGCTGACCGATCAAGCGCGCCCGCCGAGCGTGCGGGGATCTGGCCCTCGAAACAACGCTGCCCCCCCAGCGACCTTCAACTCGTTCGGTTCACGGGCCTCGGCCGGCGGCCAGGGGCCCTCCAGAGCCGGGCGCGTCGCTCCGACTTCGGTGCGCTTTTTTCGGGGCGGGCCTTGCGGACGATGCGAGGCGCTCCCGACCCGAGCCGCTGTCGCGATTCGCTCCAGCTCTGTCAGGAGGAAAAGAAACACACAGACACCATGAATCCTCCATTCCCCAGAAAATATGGGAAAATATGGGAAGTGGGGGGGAAGACAGAAACCCAGAAAATATGGGAAAATAGGGGGAATCTTTTTATTTGTGTGCATTTATTCGTGTGTCCTTGGGCCCCTTGACTCTGGTCGGGCGAGGCCAGGACGAGGATCCATCCGTTCCCGAGCGCTCTCGGAGCGCTCTCAGAGCGTGCTTCTGGAACGCTCCGAGAGGGCCGCGGCGCCTTGTCTTCATCAGAAAGAAAAGGAACACACAGACACAATTCATCCTCGATTCCCGCGAAAATGTGGGAAACTATGGGAAGTGGGGGGGAAGACAGAAACCACGAAAATATCGGAAAATAGGGGGAATCTTTTTGTTTGGGTGTATGTCCTTTGGCCCTTTCACTTAAGCTCTGGCCTGCCGAGGCGCGGCTGGAGCGCTGCGGCTACGCCGTCGTCGGCGCCTGGCTCTCCCCCGGCGGCGCGGCCGCCGCGGCAGCCCACGCGCAGGCGACGGGCGGCCCGCAGCTCAGCTGGGCGTTCCGGCACATCGCCGCCGAGCTCTCGGTCTTCGGGGGCGTCGGACGAAATTAACCTCGGGGGCGGAAAAGAGGGGGGTGATGACTGGGGGGGGTGGATATCATGGCGGGGGCCATGATATTTCCCCAGATTTGATAGCGCCTCTTCTTCTTTCATTACGTCCCTGGCCCCCCCGCTGGGCCGCGCACATGCCGCCGGTCATGATTTGCACCCCCCCTCTTGGACACCCCCCTCTTCGCCACTCCCGAGAGGGCGTCGGACGAAATTAGCCCAAGGATGAGGTCTTTAGATGTGCTCCCGCCATGCTTCTCTCGGCGGGGGGTGAAACTCGGCCCTCCTCCGCCTGCTCCTCCTCCTCCTTCTCCTCGTCCTTCTCCTCTTCTTCATCTTCCTCTTCCTCCGTGCCACGCGCGGGCGACGGGCGGCCCGCAGCTCAGCTGGGCGTTCCGGCACAGCGCCGCCGAGCTCTCGGTCTGCGGGGGCGTCGGACGAAGTTCACCCAAGGAGGTCTTTAGGTGAACCCCCGCCCTGCTTCTCTCGGCGGGGGGTGACACTCGGCCCTCCTCCGCCTGCTCCTCCTCCTCCTCCTCCTCCTCCTCCTCGTCCTCCTCCTCTTCTTCATCTTCCTCTTCCTCCGTGCCGCGGAGAAACAATTTTTTTTTCACTATAGGTGGAACCCCAGTCCGTCAGTAAGGGCGCCAGAAAGATAATTATTTTCCACTATTGCGGTGGGGGGGTCTAAAGACATTGTTCGGTGAAGTCGAAGAAGATTACCCAGACAGGCTTGCGTCCGGGAGGTTTTGGTCGTTTTGGGCCTCTGCCAGGCCGCGGGGCCGTCGAGAAACGACTCAGGATGAAGTACCGGTCCCAGGGAAGGGGTCGGGATTTGCAGGTGCCACGCGCTGAAAACATCAGGCTCCTGAAGGCGTCTCCTCGCCACGGCTGGATCCGCCTCGAAATGCCTATCAGGATGGACCCTGGGAGGGGTCCTGGGGCCGATGTTGCGAGGATTTCTGGGCTGCGCGGGAGCTGCCGCGGATTTGGGCCGGGAGCCCCTCTAGCAGGCGGGGCCTGTGCATAATTAGGCGTAGGCTTTCGGAGCTCCGCGCGGATCTCTCGGATCGGCGCTGGACTCCCCCTGCCTGGCGCGCGGGGCTGGCGCACGGGGCGCGCCAGGGGCGGCGCCGGAGACGCCGCCAGGGGGGGGCCCAGCGCCGACCCACGAGATCAGCGCGGGGCTCCGACAGTTTGTGGTCATGGTCGGTTCGTGCCGTGTCCCGTCGAAGCGGCTGCGATCCCAGCGCGGGCGTTCAAGGTGGAGCACCGCCGGTGCCCCAGAATCGACCGACACGGAACGAGCTGGCGGTCGAAGAGCCGCCGGTCGTTCCAGGTGGACCGATCCACGCGGCGTCAGAAGCCACCGCTGGGGTCGTCGCGGCACGAAGCTGCCGAGGGCCATGGTTAGATGAATAGTGCCAGAAGCATCGTTTAGAATTCTGGTGCATTTTTCCAATAGATTGCGCGGCCCGTGGACGCAGTCCTTGGAGTCCTTGGAGTCCTGGGGAGTCCTGAGGCGTCGTCTCACTCCGCCTCCTCGCCTTCTGGCATTGCCCAAGACGCTAACTGACGCAAATTGACGCAAGTAGACGCCACGATGCACTAATCGATGCTTCCGGCGCTGTTCATCTAACCATGGGGTGTTGACTGGTGCCATCCGCAGCCTTTGGCGTGAGCCCTGAGTCGTCTGCGGCGGAAACCCGCCGCCCGGGCGCGTCCTTGGCCACTGGCGCCAGCGGCGATCCGAGGGGCCCCCTCCCCAATTCGGGGGCGTCCGGGACGGGCGAGGCCAGGGGTGCGAGTGCGTGCGTGCGTGCGTGTGTGTGTGTGTGTGTGTGTGTGTGTGTGGATACTCCAGATTTCGTAATAAAAGGGAGGGGGTCTGGACCCTCCAATACAAGCCATTTCAGACCTCCCCCGTGGGGGAACCCTCCAAAACATCGTCCCCAGACCCCCCAGGCCCTCCAAGATAGCCTGGAAGAGACCCCCCCCGAAATGAGACCCCCTCCCTTTTATTACGAAATCTGAAGTAATTATCTTGGCCAGGGCCATGACGTCTCCCAGTTTGCATGAGAAACGCGGCATGGACATAATTAAGCTTTCGGAGCTCCGCGCTGGTTTCTTGGATCTGGCTCTGGGTCCCCCCCCGCGCCAGGGAGAGGGGCCCCGCGCCGATCCAAGAAGTCCGCGCGGAACTCCCACAGTTTATTATGTGCATGTCGTTGTTGCTGCTCCTGTGCCCACTGCGCGACCCTCCCCCCTCCCCTTAGTGGGCCCTGGAAACGACAGGGCCGTTTTTTTACCGGTTCCGTTATGCCTTTTTTTGCCGGTTCCGACGCCGTTTGTTTACCAGTTCCGTCGCCGTTTTTTGACCGGCTCCGGCTCCGGTTCCAATCCTTGAGCCGTTCTTTTGCCGTTTCCAGTCGCCGTTTTTTTGCCGTGCCCACTTTCAGGGGGCATCCTTGGGGAAACGGTAACAAAAACGGCCCTGCCGTTTCCGGGGCCCACTGAGCCCCTCTCCCCCCCCTCGTTTGCCGTTCCCGCTTCCTGCAGGTCTGCGACGACGACTTCGTGGCCGTGCGGTCGGTGGAGCCGCCCGAGCCGGGCGGGGCGGCGGCCTCCGCGCAGGAGCTGTGCCGCGAGGTGCAGCAGTACCTGTCGGAGCGCTTCAGCGCCTCCTTCGAGGCTCGGGGAGGGAACTTTGGCATCGCTCGGACGTGTGCATGTTTTCCTCGGCGACGGCCATCGAGGAGCATCCTTGATCATCTGGCGAAAAAAAGAACACGCACGAAACCGAAAAAAGCACAGGGAATGGACGTCCGAGCGATGGCCAGGGGAGCCGCAGCGGCGCAGCGGGGCTCGACGTCGGCGGCGCCCGTCCTTTGAGGGCGAGGGCGCGGAGCACCCCGGGGGCCTCGGGCCCCCTCGCTGGGGCCCCAGACCCCTGCCATCGCTCGGACGTGTGCGTTTTTTCCTCGGCGAGGGCCATCGAGGAGCATCCTTGATGATTTGGCGAAGAAAACAACGCACGAAACCGAACAAATGCACAGGGAATGGACGTCCGAGCGGTGGCCAGGACCAGGCGCAGATCGGCGGCGAAGTCCGAACCCTGCCCTCGCCGACCAACGGATCCAGGCAGCTCGCTGGGCGGCGGGGGCAGGGCTCGGTTTTTCGACGAGCACTGTGGCGCAGATGGAACCCCATCCCCGCTGTCCGTCGATCCTGGAGGCTCGATGGCTGGTTTGGGCAGGGCTCGGGGCCCGCCGCCCAAGAAACAGAAGTTCGAAGGCGTCGGCGCCGGTCGGGAGGGCGAGGCCGTGGAGCGCTCACTGGGGCCTCGGGCGCCCTCGCCGGGGCCCCAGGCTTGGCCAGAATCGGCGCGCTCTCCTCGACGGTCGAGAAGGCGGGTTGCTGAAGCGTGAGTCCTGCATGAGTCGCGTGGAAGTCTCGAGCCATAGCGCGATTTCCAAGGACATCGTGGGGAAGGCCAACGCGAGAGCGTGATTCCTGAGTGTCGACTGCGCGGCGTTTGAATACATATTGAGGGAGTCCCACGCGAGAGCGCGATTCCTGGACACTTTGTGAGGAAGTCCTGCGCGAAAAAGCGATTTTGCAATGCATTGTGAGGAAGTATCCGGCGGGTGCCGCTATCGTTGTTGTAGCCGGGGGGGCAGCAACACAGTTCGAGCAGGCAGACCTTCCCTGATAAAAAAAACAGGGTGCAAGCTCCGAGGGGGCACTCCAGTTGAACAACACAATATGCCAACCACTCAAACTTCTTCAAGAGTGACAGTTCAACACCAACAGCATCACTCCTTTTAAGACTGTTCGTTCTTATCTGCTCGCGTGCCGTTCAACACATATATCCCGCACCCTCGATACCCGCCTTCTTCGTCTTCGATGGTACCCCCTTCGGGGTATATCTTTTTCTTATCTGCAACGTGTATTTCGTGCAGCCCCGTAGGGCAGGGTAAGAGAGAAGATATTGAATGGAGGGGCAAGGGTGCGGGAGGAGGATGTAGGACGAGAGAGAATCGCAGGAGAGGGCGCTAGGATCAGAAAGCACGTGGCAGAACCGGACGGGCAGATCGGCGGGTAGACCCTAAAGGGCGGGTCGGGAAGGCAGGCCCAGGCGGCCAGGTCGAGCAGGTTGGTTGCTGAAGCGTGAGCCCTGCATGAATCGCAAGGAAGTCTTGGGCGATGGCGCGAGTCCTAAGTCTCTTGTGAGACATCCGCAGCGCGAGCCTGATTTCTGAGTTTCGAGGGCGCGGCGTCTGAATAGATTGCGAGGAAGTCCCGCGCGAGAGCGCGACTCCTGCAGACGTTATGGGGACGTCCCGCGCGAGAGCGCGATTTGAAATACATTGTGAGGCACTACTCGGCGGGATGCAACTCGAGGGCCAATGACCCAGTTGAGTGGAATTTCGGTGCCCGCCCTGGGAGGATGATGTCACTTGAGAAGTGCACTGGTCACAGGAACTGTACCAGCACTATCTATTCTTTACAACAGCAACACCACCATCAACACCAACCACGACCACAACCACAACCACAACCACAGCCACAGCCACAACAACAACATAAACAACAACACACCTCATTGTCAGACTGCTTGCTTTTACCTCTTCGCGTCCCATTCAGCACGTATATCCCTAACCCTCGTTACCCGCCCTCTTCGTCTTCGATGGTGCCCCCTTAGGGGTATATCCTCCGTTCCTGCCGCGCGTAGTTGGCGCAGCCCCTACAGCAGGGGAAGGAGGGGGGGAGTGAAGAGACAAGAGGTAGGGAAAAGGACGGAGTACGAGAGAGATTTGCAGGAGGAGGGTTAGGTGCAGGAGCGCAAGCCGCAGACCAGACGGGCGTCTCGGGCGGGTGGGCCCTAAGGGGCAGGTCGGGCGGGCGGGCCCAAACAGTCAGGTCTAGCGGGCGGGTCGCCGAAGCGTGAACCCATCAAGCATGAAGTTTCGAGCGATAGCGCGATTCCCAAGTAAATCGTTCGGACATCCAAACCGAGAGCATCTTGGGGGTACGGCGCTGAAATACAGTGTGCGGAAATTGCACGCGGGAGCGCGATTCTGGAATAGATCCCGAGGAAATCCCTAGCGAGAGCGCGATTTTGAAATGCATTCTGCGGATGTATTCGGGTGGAGCAGCTGCTGTTGTAAACCGGGTGCAAGGGGCGCAGTTTGGTGACCACAGGCTTTCCCTTGTACGCAACAGAGCGCGAGCCCAGGGAGGACCAATTTAATTGAAGCATCGAGTGGTCTCCGGGTGGGGATCAACATTTATTCTGCAGTGAGAATGAGAATTCAACAACAACACCAAACAGAACACACATCATATTAAAACTGTTCGCTCCTATCTGTTCGCGTGCCATTCAATAGGTCTATCCCGAACGTTCCGTGCCCGCCCTCTTCGTCCTCGAGCGTACCACCTTTGGGGTATATCCTCCCTACCAGCCACGTGCATGCAACGCAGGCACTAAAACAGGGGAAGCGAGGACGGATGAAAGGGGGAATGAAAAGGATGGACCACCAGAGAAATTAGCAGGAAGGGGGCTATGAACAGAAATGCATGATATAACCACGCGGGCAGGTCGGGCGGGCGGACCCTGGCGGGCGGGTCGGGAAGGCGGGCCCAGGCGGCCAGGTCGAACAGGCGGGTTGCTGAAGCGTGCGTCCTGCATGAATCGCGAGGAAATCTCAAACGATAGCGCGATCTCCAAGTAGATCGTGAGAGAAGCCGGGGCGAGAGCGTGAGGCCTGAGTGTCGAGGGCGCGGCGTCTGGAGTAGTTGCGAGGAAGTCCCACGCGAGAGCGCGATTCCTGCAGAAAGTGTGGGGAAGTTCCGTGCGAGAGCGCGATTCCGTAATACACTGTGAGGAAGTATTCGGCGGGAGCCGTTGTTGCTGTAGTCGAGGGGCAACAACGCAGTTTGAGCAGGAAGCCTTTCTCAGGGTGCGGGCACCGAGTGGGGCACTTGAACTGAAACACGCAATGTGCACATATGATGGGGATATCAACCGTATTTATTGTTTCGCACGTTCTAGTCCAACCGTAACAACACGACGACCAACAACCACAATTTTACAACTGTTCGCTCTTATCTGCTCGTGGCCACTCAACACATAGGCCCCGCACCCTCGGTACCCACCCTTTTCGTCTCCGATCGTGCCCCCTTTGGGGGTCTATCGTCTTTGCCAGACACGCGCATGTCGCGCAGCCCCTGGAACAGGGAGAGGAAAGGACGGATGGAAAGGGAGAGGGAGAAGGATGGAACCCAAGACAAGTTACACCGCACTCACATCTATACCCCTGGGTGGGTGTATGTGCGGCCGTTTTTGCGCTGTCGTGTGCGCGCATGTGCGCGGCATGTGCCAGTCATGTGCCAGGCCTGTGCGGCCCTTCTTGGGTGGACCTCCTACTGTGCACCGAGAAGTGAGTCCAGTGTAGCAGTAGGGGGGCCGGGGCCAGAAACCATGTGGCAGAACCAAGCGGGCGTGTCGGACGGGCGGGCCCCTGCGGGCGGGTCGGGAAGGCGGGCCGAGGCGGCCGGGTCAAGCAGGCGGGTTGCTGAAGCGTGGGTCCTGCATGCATCGCGAGGAAGTCCTCGAGCGATGGCGAGATTCTTAGGTACATCGTGAGAGGAGCCAGAGCGAGCGCGTGAGTCCTGAGTGCCGAGGGCGCGCGGCGTCTGAATAGGTTTCGAGGAATCTCGCGCGAGAGCGCGATTCTTGCAGAACTTGTGGGGAAGTCCTGCGCGACAGTTCGATGTGGCACTATCTTGGGAGAAAGTATCAAGCGGAATCCATGATTGTTGTAGTTCGGGGCCCAACAGTGCAGTCGGAGCAGGAAGACTTCCTCTAAGAAGCGTGTGCGAGCCCCGTGGAAGGCACTTCAACTGAAAAACACATTGTGCATTGGTGAGGGGGGAGGGGGGGATCAACAATATTTGTTCTTCAAGAGTGGGACTTCAACAACAACAACAACAACAGCAATCATTTTAGGACTGTTCGTTCCGACCTGTTCGGGGCCACTCAACACGTATATCCCGGACCTTCGGTGCATTGTTTTCGTATTCGGCAGTGCCCTGTTTGGGGTATAATTTGTTTGCCTGCCACGTGTACCTAGCGCAGCCCCTAAACCATGGGAAGAAAGGGCGGCTGATGAGGGGAGGGGGAAGGATGGAACACGAGAGAAATTAGCATAATCTGGGGCCAGGACCAGAAAACACGTGGCAGAACCAGACGGGCAGATCGGCGGGTAGACCTTGACGAGCGGGTCGGGAAAGCGGGCCCAGGCGGCCAGGTCGAACAGGCGGGTTGCTGAAGCGTGGGTCCTGCATGGGTCGCGAGGAAGTCTCGAGCGACAGCGCGATTCCCAAGTAAATCGTGAGAGAGAAGCCAGAGCGAGAGCGTGAGTCCTGAGTATCGAGGGCGCGGCGTCGGAATACATTGCGAGGTAAGTGCCACGCGAGAGCGCGAGGATGGAATCGCTGGTGAGGAAGTGTCCGGCGGGAGCCGCGGTTGCTGTAAACGGGAGGCCAGGGCCGGGCACACCGCGAGCCCCAAGATTTTCCGGTGTAGGAAACAGGATGCGGGCCCCAATGGGGACTGGGGGGATCAACAACAGTCACTTTTAAGAAATGATGACGAGCGAACAACATACACCCCTACCCATCGGGGGGTCGTTGGGAGGAGGATTGGCTATAGGTATGGGTGCGTATCGTCGGACCCTGGGGAACGCTCCCGTTCGAGCGGGGACCCCCATCCGACAACACGCACCCATAGCCCTTTCCGACCCCCCTATGGGAATGGGTGTGTGTTGTTGGTTCGTCAAATGAGAACTCAAAGCAAGTGCGACGCAGCAGCCATCCGCACCCCGGAACCTCACTTCGGCCACGCGCCCAGGGACAGCGAATGGCCGTTCGGCCCTTCACCTCTGATGCGCTTACGCAGCTTTTTCTTCACCTTCGAGGGCCAGATGGTGCGCGTCTTCCTCGTCTGCGGCACCGACGTGGCAGAAAAGAGCGGCCTCTACTCCGGCGTCCTTCCGCACCGTGAGCTCGGTGTGGTCATCGTGCCCCGGGAAGACGAGGAGCCGCGCCTCGAGGTTCTAGGCCTCCTGGATGGGGTCCGAGCAGACGGGGCCGCAGGACCGCGCCGCATCGGCGATGCGGTTCGTGGTGGAGCCCGACTTCCTCCAAGCCGACGGAACCGATACAGCGCCGACGGAACCGATGCATAGCCGATGCATCGGCGATGCATCGGCGATGTGGCGCGAGCCTCCGACTCCACGATCTCGGACCCCGGTCGGAAGGCCTCTAGAGAGGTGCCCAGTCAGCTCGTCTACGTGGCGGACCCAATCCCGGGGGACGCCTGCGCCTTCAGCTCCTCGAGGGTGCGAGCGGCCATCCGCGAGGGCAGCGTGGCGGCCGCCTCCCAGGAGATGGCCCCGGCGGCGGCGCGCTACGTGCTGGCCCCGACGCCCGCGGAGCGCAGGGAGATGTCTGCGGACTACGAGGCTCGACGAAAGAAGTTGTCCAGGCGACGAGATGAGTCAGGTGCAGTTGTGACCTAGCGCGGTTGTGAGTAGCCCTTCCGGTGGAGCTCGTACGTCGGAGGCGGCAAAGAGGGGGGTGATGACTAGGGGGGGGTGGATCTCATGGCGTGGGCCATGATATTTCCGCAGATTTCATGGCGCCTCATCTTATTTCATTATGTCCCTGGCCCCCCCCCCTGGGCCGCGCACATGCCGCCGGCCATGATTTGCACCCCCCCTCTTGGACGCCCCCCTCTTGACCGCTCCCAAGTACGGGGGGCCACGACATGTGTGAGGGGTGTGCCGACAGGGGTGCAGTGGCGCCATGCGAATGCAGCCACTGGGGCCTTCGGCGGAGTTCATTATTCAGTCACGAAGCGTGTGGGGGGTATGCCGAAATGGGTGGGGAGCCGCCATGCGAACGCAGCCACTGGGGCCTTCGGCGGAGCTCCCTTTGGGTCCACGAAGCGTGTGATGGGTGTGCCAAAATGGGCGCGGTGGAGCCATGCGAACCTTCCCACCAGGGCCTTCTGTGGAGCTCATTCTGGGGCCACGAAGCGTGTGCGGGAGGTGCCGAAATTGGCGCGGTGGCTGCGACACCTGCCACTGGGGCCTTCCGTGGAGCTCACTCTGGGGCCACGAAGCGAGTGAGGGGTGTGCCGAATTGGGTGCGGTGGCGCCATGCGAACACTCTCACTGGGGCCTTCCACGAGACGTGCGAGGGGTGTGCCGAACTGGGTGCGGTGGCGCCGTGCGAACCCTCTCGCTTGGGGCCTTCGGTGGAGTTCCCTCTGGGGCCACGAGACGTGCAAGGGGTGTGCCGAAATGGGTGCGGTGGCCTCATGCGACCCGTCCCACTGGGGCCTTCGGTGGAGCTCCCTAGTGGGCCACGAAGCGTGTGAGGGGTGTACCGAAGTGTGATTGATGATGGTGATCGTGCGGATGCTGATGCCGATGAGGCTGGTGAGGACGGCAACGCTGACGACGATGACGCTGATGAAGACGACGATGACGACGACGAGGAGGGTCCCCGCCCGCGCGGCATTCCACCAGTTCCCATGCTGCGGGGGGCCGCCAGGTGGACACCTCCCCGGGGGCTCAAGGCTGGGCGCCCCCCGCACCAGCGTCGGGCGTCAACTGGAAAGCCACCGGCCGCGGTGAGGGTGCGCAGGCCGGGCGCTAGGGCGCCCGCCTGCGAGCAGGCGCCTGCGCTGGGCGGCCTGGTCGGGCGCGCGGCCCAGACAGCGCGGGTTTCGTCAAGCCGAGCGGAAGAAGGCAGGAGGAATGAAGGGAGCATGGGGGGAGGAGAAAGGAGCGACCCAACACCACAGGATGCTTCGGAAAAGCAGCATCGTCGCTCGACGGCGGCGCCGTGGTTGCGGGCGAGTGCGTGGAGCACTGGGGCCCTAGACTTTGCTGGCATCGGCGCGTTCCCCTTGGTTGAGACTGCCCTGATCTGCTCGGGGAGCATCTTGAGGTCAGCTGGGGCTACTCGGGGGGCCTGTTGAGGCCAGCGGGGACTACCTGGAAGGGCTGGCTGTATGCCGAAGCCTTACCAACCTGAGAGCCGGCACGGAGGTCAGCTCCCGACCCGCCGACCTCAGCATGGAGGAAGCATAAGCATAAACCGCTGTCAGAGTTCCGCGCGGAATTCTGTGATCGATGTTGGGCCCCTTTCTGGCATCACTGCTCCTTTGGGGGCCCTCGCCAGCATAAGCATACAGGCGGGGCGCTGAAGGAGGAACCCTTTGCATTGGGCAAGGGCTCCGTGTTTCGTAATAGTTTCACGGCTTGCTTTCGGCTTTCCTTAGGTTCCCGATGAGAAGTCGAAGTTTAACCTGTGGAAGAAAAGGCCTCCTTCCTTATTTAGGGTTCCTGAGGTCAGCGCCCCGACTGTAAATGGCATAAGCAGTACAAACTTTCGGAGCTCCGCGCGGATTTCTTGTGTCGGCGCGGCGCCCCCCCCCTTGGCAGCGCTTCCGTCGCCGCCAGGGGAGGGGAAGCCCAGCGCCGATCTAAGAAGCTTGGGAGGGGGAGCTCTCGGCCACGCTCAGAGGGGGGTAGTAGGGGGAGGGGGGACGAGTTTTTAACAACACCCCTGCTTCTTAGAAGGCGCGGGCCTTGTCTATAGATGTAAGGCCCGCGCCTTCGAAGAAACAACCTCTTCTTAGGAAGCCTTCCCCCCTCCCCCTACCCCCTTGTACACGCCGACAGAACTCAGCGCCGATCGAAGACATTGACGCGGAGCTTGGACGGTTCTTGAGCATGTGCAGTCAGTTTTCTTCCTTGAGAGGCGCTGGCGGTCAAGAGCATGGGGCGTGAGGAGCTAGACCAGTCCATGGCCAAGCTCAAGGAGACCCTGCGGGCCTGGGCTGGTCCCCAGGGCTGCGTGCGCCAGGCGGATCTCGCGCGGCTGCTGCACTTCATCGACCCGTCGTGGACGGAGAAGGAGATGAACGCCCTCATGGGCAGCGCCAAGATCTCCCCCGACGGTGCTCGAATAAGAAACACGCGGCGTGAGCTGAAGCTTTCGGAGCTCCGCGCAGCTTTGTCGGATCGGCGCTGGACTCCCCACTCTGGCGCGCGCCGGGCTCCCCCTCCCTGCCGCGCTGCGCGCGCCGGGGGCGGCGCCGGAGGCGCCGCCAGAGGGGGTCCAGCGCCGATCCAAATCCGTGTGGAGCTCCCGAAATTTATGTTGAGGGGTCACCTCGCGAGTTATTAAGTGGATATCTGATGCTAAGATGGGTTATGCCCAGCCGATCTGAGTGTGTGAGTGGTCAACAGGGGCCCGGGCGCAGCCCACTTACTAGCCCAGATCTTGACACGCAAGCTCCAGGCATTTCAAGAATTCCGAACCCACTCACAAGCTATGTCGAGCCATATTTAGGCCACCTTGGCATCCATTCTTAACCCCCGTATCTACAGTTGATCCGCACGGTAAGGATGGGCAGCCTTCCCAAGGATACCCCTGCATCCTTGCCTCCTCGGTCCATCCTTGGCCACTTTCCTCGGCCGCGCCCCGCTCGAAAAGCCTCGAAACGGCCTTCCAAGGCCCTTGCGTCCTTACCGTGCGTCCTGATGATGCGGGTTGACTGTATCTATCTATCTAACATCCACCGCGGTGATTCAAGTGTCGCCTCTTTTCTCTACGGTATGTTCGCGTCGTGTCGACCGGCGGCGACCCCGCAGCCGACGTTCAACGTTGAACGCCGACGGCGGCCCAGAATCGGTCGATGTTGAACGATCGGACGTTGCGGAGACGGCCGATCGTTCAAGGTTGAACGATCCAGCGCGGTGTCGGGAACCAACGCCGGGGTCGACACGACACGAACCTGCAGTAGGCACGCTGGTCACGGACGAGTTCATCGACTGGATCTTCAACCACTGCCAGGCCTGAGCCTCGGACTGAGCGGCAGCCCTTCCCCGGCGCGGCCCCCCCAAGCTTTCCCCGCCCGGCTCGCCACGGGCCAGGCCCACTGGGTCGGCGATTCACACTGGAGGCTCAGGGGTGGTGAGTGGTGAGAAGCAGGGTCAGAAGGAGGACGGGGAAGAGAAGGAGGAGGGGGAAGGGGAGGAGGAGGAGGAGGAGGAGGGGGAGGAGGGGGAGGAGGAGGAGGAGGAGGAAGAGGAGGAGGAGGCGGAGGAGGAGGAGAAGGAGGAGGAGGCGGAGGAGGAGGAGGAGGGGGAGGAGCAGGGGGACCAGCGCAAACCCAAGATGCATCAACGATGTTGCAACAAACCCTCCCTCCAAGTTCCCTTTTGTGTAGATACCTAAGAGAGTTTATTATTGTAGTGGCCGTCGGCCAGTGCCGCCGATCCGGGGCGCTCCGACTGATGTGATCCTCCTTCGCCCTCGTCCCTCCTCTCTTTTCCCTTCCTTCCCCCTTTCATTCCGCATTTATTGAAGACGCCTACGGCGAATCACCGCCGCCCCCTGCCTTTGTGGAAGCGCCTAGGTGGCCGAACGTTGAGGCCAGACCTGCCAAGCCATCGGACCATGTGTTCCCCGAATCGGTTTGGAAAGCCTTCGGGGAACACGTGGGCGTCTTGATGGTCATCGTCGCCGTCTTGGAGGCCTCTTGGGCGATCTTTCGGCGATCTTTGGGGGCTCTTGGGCCGTCTCGGGCCGTCGGAAGGCCGAAAAAAGGGAAATGCCCAAATCCAGCAAAAACCTTAGGAAAATCAGTGATTTTGGCATCTTTTGGCCTTCCTGGAGGCCTCTTGGGGGCCTCTTGGGCCCTTTTGGGCCAGCTTCGAGCCAACTTCGGCCATCTTGGTGGGTTCCTGGCACGTCTGACGCCGTCGGGAGCCGTTTTGGGGGCCTTTCTGGGCCAACGGGGGACCCTCTTGGGGCGCTCCAGGGCCGTCTTGGAGGCCATCTTGGGCGTCTTGGAGGCCATCTTGGGCGTGTTGGAGGCCTCTTGGGCCGTCTTGGGGCCCTCTAGGGGCCATCTTGGAGGCCACTTGGGCCATCAGGGGGCTCTCTTGGGGGCCTCTTGGGCGATCTTGGGGGCTTCTTGGGCCGTCTTGAGCCGTCGGAGAGCCGAAAAGGCGCAAATGCCCAAATCCTTCAAAAACCAAGGGAAAATCAATGATTTTGGCCTCTTCGGACTCTCCTGGAGGACCTCTTGGAGGCCTCTTGGGCCGTCTGGGAGGCCTCTGGGGGGCCTCTTGGGCCGTCTTGGGCCGTCTTGGACTCTCTTGGGCCGTTTTGGAGGCCGTCTTGGACCATCTCGGGCGGACTTGGAGGCCATCTTGGGCCATCTTCGCGATTTTTTGAGGATGTCCCGAGCGAAACGGCCGTTTTTGGAGGATTTTTTTCCGGATTGAGGTGTTTTCGGCTTCCTCCCGGGACCCCGGCGGGACGGGCCGGAGCCCACTGGGGAGTTCTTTTGGAAAAAGAACCAAAACCAAAACCTGACAGCTCATCCAGCACGCCGTGCACCCCTGCAAGCAGGGGGCGGCGGATCCAGTGGCCGTCGGCCTATCCCACCACCGTGCGTGGGTGGTGGGTCAGAGGCCTCATGGACGCTGGTAGGGATATCGTGGTTGGCCGGGACCTCTGGGGGCCTCTTGGAGGCCTCTTGGGGCTTCTTGGGGGCCTCGTGGGCCTCTTGGGGCCACTTGGGGGCCTCTTGGGGGTCTCTTGGGAGTCTCTTGGGGCTTCTTGGGGGCCTCTTCTGGGCCCCTTGGGGCCTCTTGGAGGCTTCTTCGGAGCCTCTTGGTGCGGGAGGGGTGGCACTCGAGTTCGGACCCCCCTCGGAGGCCACGATCCTTGTGAGGGGTGTCAAAAAACGCATCCGCCGGAAACTCGCACCCCCCCCCCCCACCCCCCCTTCCCCGGCAGAGCCACCCCGGCAACCCCCCTGGAGGCTGAGGCTCAGCCTCGAGGCTGTACTGTAGCTGAGACTCCTTGTAACTCACACGCCGGATCGGCGGATTATTGCGGGACGTGGCCCGTCGAAAGACAGCTGTTGTAGAATTGTCAGCCGTGCCGGAACACCATCTCTGGGATTTCAACGCCGCGGGTCAACGTATTGCTGCGTCCTTCCATTCCTAAGCCGTCGTGCCAGAGCACCATCTCTGGGATGTCAACGTACAAGACAATCCTAGACCGTGCCGAAACACAATTCCTGGGACTGCAACCGTACGAATTCTTGAAATGGCTGCAGACTTTTAAGACGCATCTGCACGGCGCTAGGGCGAGAGCCACATTTTGAAAAGGAACCGCCTTTCGGCATTGAAACGGTTGCAAACGTTTTTGAGAATGAGCCACCCTCAATTCTTGAAGCTGTTGCAAGCTTTTAACACGAATTTGCGCGGCGCTACGGCGAGATCCACATTTTGAGAACCACCCGCCCTCCATCCTTGAAACAGTTGCACAATTTCAAGACGAATGTTCGCGGCGCTGAAGCGAGAACCAAATTTTGCAAACGGCCCGCCCTACATCCGTGAAACTGTTGCAGATCTAAGCTTCAGTACCAGGCGTGGTGAGGCAGTCTCAGGCGAAGCGCCTGACCCGCCCCACCAACACGCCTTGGGGTGCGACAGGGAGGAGTTCTTTGTCAGGGGGATTTTGAGGATGATGACTCACTCTTCAGGGAACACCTCAAGGGTGAGATCCCTAATCTTTGGATGGTGACCCTTTTAACCGTGATCTTTCCACCCCCCATGTCATTGCGCGCAGCGTTGCCGCACGCATTTCCCAACAAGGAGAGGAGGCCGAGCGTGGACACCGCGTCTCGCGCAGGCAGACACCGGCGACTTGCCGCTGCAGTTCAAAGAACTGAGCCTGTGTCTTGTCTCAGCGACGTGCAGACGACTTTCGGGCACCTTCACAGAGCACCCCCCAGGTGAAGGCTTGGGGGGGGAGCAGCCGGACACAGATGCGCCTGGTCGTTTGATTCTCAGACAAGTGGGGCATCTCCAATAGGAACGGCAGCATTCCCATGTATGCGCTTCTTGTCCCTCGGGGGCCTTGGCTCTCTGGACGGGGCTCCGACGAACCAGGGGACACCCAGAGAGATCAAGCGCGGGCCGGCGGGGCAGAACGCGGGCCGCCAGGAGGCAAACCGATTTGGTCCGAGCTCTTGGTCAGAGCCTCTGGGGTGAGCAGAAATGCCAGCTTTAGCAGCAGAGTCAGCGGCATCGTTGCCGATCTTGGCCCGTCTTTGATCTTCTGTCAAAGAAGGGTCGCCCACCACATGGGCCTTGGCCTTCTGAAGGTTCGTGAGGTGGGGAGAAACAGCAAACATCACAATGCCAGAGTACATGCTTTTGCGTTGCAACGTCTTAGGCCTGTCCGCCCAGAAGCTAGAGACCACGTTGGCACAGTCAGACAGCCCTCTCGAAGGACCGACCGCATTATGGGCCGCCATCGCCAGAGCCCCAGACTCCCCTGCCTGCGGAGTCTGTGGCATTGGGCCCCGTACTGGGCCGTGTACCGAAACCTGCCCTTGAGCCTCAGGATCTAGACACACATAGCCCCAGGAGGGCCCCCGCAATTCTCGAATGACATGTTTGGAGCAAGACCCATCCATAACTACATCTCCTTGCACTTCACCTCGAAGGAGCCCCTCGACACCTGGACCGCAGACCGTCATCCCTCCAGAAGCCCTTGGCCCAGGAAGAGCATCTCCAGGATGCGAAATGATAGTGGAGAGAAGAAACTCCTTGTCGCTATGATCTACCTGAACAGCCGCACTCACGACATCGCCATGGATCATATCGGATCTGTCGGTGGCACAAGCAGGGCACTCCCAGAGGCGGTGCCACAGGCTGTCGGGGTGCAGACAACACAGCTCGCAACGTGGGGATGGGAGATCGTATCCCGCCTGGATCGCACGATCCTTGGTCCACAAAGCTCCGCACGTGACAGATTCGACGTAGCCCTTTTCGTATCCAGAATACTTAGAGGAAGCTGAGCAAAAACCACATCGTAACAAACTCTCCCAGGGATGCCCAAATTTCGGGCTGCATCTCGTTCTACTTGCCTTAAAATTCAGTCTTTCAACGTCTGCTTGATCAGACAGGGGGGTACATGTCGTGAGAAGCATCTCCTCATGAAATCATCCTCAGAGCTGAAATCGGACCGCTGACTCGACTCCACCTGAGCTCTGCCTCTGGCACATTGAAAGCAGATTGCCAAGCCTGCCGTAGCACCTGGACAGAGAGAGGCTTGTCTGAAACTTTCACCTGGTTCGCGAGCACTTCCCTTATACATACTTGGCGAGGGGGGATGCCGAACCGCACTCAGTGGGATCTGATTCCAGGGTGAGCAGAGAGGCCAGTGATCGCATAGCAGCACTGGGGCGGAGCACAGCACCCCACGCGACGCCTATAGTGTCAGCCACAACCCGAAGCCGGCAAGGCCGTGAACCTCTGCACCGTACCACACAAGAGGCCCGCGAGGCGGCCGCTCGTGGAGACTCTTTTTGGTGTACCTGCCGAGCGCCGCCCTGCAGCGCTCGGATCGACCAACTCTTCGTCGGAGGGCACCAGCTATTGAAGGGGCCCCAGGACACACAAATAAATACACACAACTAAAAATATCCCCCATAGTTTCCAATATCTTCTGGGTTTTTGTCTTCCCCCCCAATTCCCATATTTTCCCATATTGTCCTGGGAGTCGACGATTAATTGTGTCTGTGTGTTTCTTTCCCTCCTGAACTATACACCAACACCGATCCTGGCTCAGGATCACCCTGGGCCCAGGATCGGTGTATATGCCTTCTTGCGCAAGGCAGGAGGGCGTATGCACCGATCCTGGGCCCAGGGTGGTCCTGGCCAGGATCGGTGTTGGTGTATAGTTGGTGCCTTCCTATCGTCTTGACGAACGCTCACTTCCTCTCCTTGGCGACCTTCCCTCGGACTCTGACGGCGGCTTCTCCCGGCAGCATCATCCACTCCAAGATTTCTGGCAGACGGGACCAGCTCGGCTCCACCATGGTCGCCAGGCGCGCTGTGGATAGCTGCGCCTAGCTTCGCTGAAGAACAAATG